TGGCAAAGGAATAAAAAATAAAGTGTTGAAGGAGAAGGAGAAGGAGAAGGAGAAGGAGAAGGAGAAGGAGAAGGAGGAGGAGACAATTTCCTTCTACAGAAGACAGAGTGGGTAAGCAAAGGTAAGCATCCTTCCTCTGGAGGATGTGGTTTGTGATAGATGGGGGTATACTTCCTGTCTGACAGAATATTTACTTATGAAACTATCCATTACCAGCATTGGTGCGCTGCCAACTCAAGAGACTCTAGGCAGTTTACAATGTCAGGAATTATCCTGAGGGTGGTACCCAAGGCTTGTGGAGCCACATGTGGGGCCTTTGCTGTGCTTCTCTGTCATCAACAAAATCCCATGAGATAGTCCACCTTCAACACCACCAACTGAACATAGCCAGGAAGTACCAAAACCAGCACCAAACTGCCAATCCCACTTTGGCAAAATGATATGGAAGGATGCCTTGATTAATGGTATCAAAAGCCCCTGAGACCATCAGGGAAACCAAAACAGTCAAACTTCCTTTGCCTATTTTCCAAGGTCAGTCATCTACTAGGGTGACCACAGCTTTTTCAACCAGAAACCTGATTGGAAAGGGCATTTAAAAACCAGATTCATTCTAGACTGCCTGGACTTGAGATGTCACCATTCTGGATCACTTTGCATAACAATGGGACGTTGTAAATTGAGTATTTTTTACACCCAGAAGTGCATAGTGAATGGCAGGGGATGTGAGGAACTGCGCTGTTTCTCATGAACACTTGTCTGGGTTCCCTGTGATTCTGCCCTTGCTACTTTCTTTTACTTCTGTTCAGTCAGTTCATGGACTGATCTGCCCACTATCAAGCTACTCAACTCTGCTGACTGATCTGGAATGTTCACAGACCCAATCTGTATTTAAGGTTCTTAAATACAGATTGAGATGAGAAATCTGTGGCCCTCCAAAAATTGCTAAACTGGAACTTCCAGCCTTCTTCACCATCGACCACGTGGCTGAGGATTGCTGGAATTACCTATCAGCAATAGCTGGAAGGCCACTGTTTGCTCATCACTTTGCTGCATGATTTCAAGGGCAATACATATTCCCACACCACACAATTGCCCTGGCTTTTTGAGGGATATTGCTTGCCTTTTATCTGCCCTATCTTTGCTGCCATTCTGCCCCTGATGTAGCCAAAGGTGCAAACAATATCCAAGACATACGATCCTTAGACTCCAGCTATGCACGTATGCACCCAGAGGATGATTTCCTGTCCAGTTTTAAGTCAGCTTGGTCCCTTTCAAACTAACTAAAGTGCTTTAGTGCTTGGATCTTTTGAAAATCATTTGCTTTTTTCCCCATATTGGCTGCCATTTCCTGCTGTTACCAAGAACAGCTGCTTGGGAGCCATCATATACCTGCATTCTGTAGAATGGCCTTTAACTATGAAAAAAAAACAGCATTGAAGTAATACGATGGGAGTGCAAATACAAATTAAGCAACATGTCATAAACAAACATTTTTTTTTTTAATGAGACAGCAGGAAGGGAAGAAATGTCACTTTGAGTGAGCTGAACATTATGTCAGAATGCCTGAAATAAAATAGTTCATTTTGAAATGGCTCTGAGAACAGCTCAATAGATCTCATAATGATCAAATTGGGACTAACTGGTTATCAGGATTGCAAAGCTGGACCAGACCCTGACAATTCAGCCCTTCGATTTACATGCGAGCAGGTTGCCCTATGTATTCCGAGAGGACTGGATACCATATAATAATGGATACATTTTTGTAGGCACGGGGTGGGCTTTTCTTCAGTTTTCCCCTTCTTTGCAAGTATTGCTTCATCATAGACAACAAGGGTGTGCCTCCTTTTATCTGGAAGACCTGACTGCAAGCCAGAACCTTTCCACATTCTATAGAGCACCCTTTGGCACTCATTTCACCCAACAGGGGAATTGACAAAACCCAGACAGAAAGGGACCTAACGCAAGCAAGACGAGATGGCTTTTAAATGTTGATTTCTACTATAGAACATTTGGACCAGACAGATAAACATGGAGACGTGTAATGGAAGTATTTATGCAATCAAAGGGTATGATTCATTCTAGGAGAATGGGTAGACTAAATATAGAGGTTATTGATAGGAGGCATTACAAACTTTGACACCCAGTTCTGGTTCCAATAACATGGAAGGTTACTCACTAAAGACAGACAAAAGTTCCCAGAGTGTCTGAAGAAGAAACAGGGCCAAAGAAGAGAGAACAGTAAGGGAGAGCAAACAAGAAACCCAGCTAATATGGCTTCATGTGGCACGTGTGCATCCGGAGTACATTTTGAAACTATTTGGCTTTTCATCATATTGTTCCAAGTAACCAAATTAGGCTTCCTGGAACCTGCTGCAAAAACAGTCTTGCATAAAATATGCCAGAGGAATTCATTACTAAATTCCACAGCAGGGCCTCAAGAACCACTGCGGGATAGTGATGAAGGTGTTGGTCTGAGACTGAGGAGACCCAAGTTCTAGTTTCACCCTCATCCATGGCAACTCACTAGGTGACTGTGGAACAGTCACTCTCTCAATCCAACATGGGAGAGTTCCCAACCTATGGTCAAATGGGAGGAAAGCTAAGCTCCTGAACAAAAAAGTGTGATATAGAAGTAACAAATTAAATACATATGTGCTCTGTGTAAACTGTGTGCCGCATCATTCACTCCTTCAGTTTGTCACTCTAATCTGTCAGGATGATACATACCACTAAAACATTCATGTTAATACATTAAAAATAAAAATAAAACACATACATGAAAATAAACCAGTAATATCATAAAATATCATATTATTATTATGAATGAATGAATGAATGAATGAATGAATGAATGAATGAATGAATGAATGAAAGTTGTATGATGTCTGACTCTGAATGACTCTGGGCAGCTCACAACAATCAAAGAAATTACAATAAAACCAATAAACCCTAAAGGATAAAGATGAAAGATGGCAAGTGTGGTGAAGTGAGGGGTCTCCCTCTCCTTCACCAAAGGCCTAAGTCAGTGTTGTCCAAACTTGGCCACTTTAAGATGAGTGGACTTCAACTCCCAGAATTCCCCAGCCAGCATGGGGACGTCCACTCATCTTAAAGTGGCCAAGTTTGGACAACACTGACTTAGGCCTTTGGTGAAGGAGAGGGAGACCGGGATCAATTACTGACTGAAATTATGCCATCTTAGGCAATGTTATTGATATTGGTTTTCACTTAGGCCAGTGTTGTCCAAACTTGGCCACTTTAAGATGAGTGGACTTCAACTCCCAGAATTCCCCAGCCAGCATGGGGAAGTCCACTCATCTTAAAGTGGCCAAGTTTGGACAACACTGGCCTAAGTGAAAACCAATATCAATAACATTGCCTAAGATGGCATAATTTCAGTCAGTAATTGATCCCCAGAAAAGCTCAGTTTTTAGCACCTTCGGAGCATCCTGTCTGAAAAGAAATCAAAGAGAGGGCAATTCCATGGGGAGACCTTTTCAAAGCAATAACACTGCTATTGAAAAGCCACACATCTGTACTTTGGACCTCCTCACTTCCATCGAATTGAGGTATTCCAGCAGCTTCTGCCAGGACAGAGGCACTGGGCAGGACAATTCCGGTTGGAGAATGTGGTCCTGAGGGTATGTATCTAGGTGTCAAAGCCAATGCATTGAACTGTTCTCAGAAGCCTAGTGGGAGCCAGGCAAGGCCTGTAGCACTGGGATAACATGCTCCAGGTGCTGTCTGCTGACTAACAGACAGGCTGCTGCATTCTGGCCCAATTGCACTTCCAAATGGTTTTCAAAGGCAGCCACATCATGTTGAACAAGTTGCAGGAGTTTAACCAGGTCAGTTGAAGGCATGAGTTAGTGAGTTAAACTATATAAGGTTCCTCTGCTCCCGCCAGTGCACAAGTGGTAAACTAGTTGAAGCTGAATGAAGGGCCCTGTGGCCATAGCTTCCACCTGCCCTGTTAGCACAGTCTTGAGTCCAGAAGGACCCCCAAATCTTGGACTTGCTCCCTCAGGAATTGTATTTCTCTGTCCAAAGACAACACCAGGGCCAACAGAGAACCTCAAAGCACACATTGCAGCTCTGTTTTATCTGGGTTCTTTAGCCTACTCAGTCCCATCCTGACTCTACCAGCCTCCAGAAATTGGCAAGATATCAATGGCATCTCCATCCCAGTCTGGGGTAGCAATGTGAGACTGGATATATTGATGATATCGCACCCTGAACTGGTGGATGACCTTTTCATACAGATTTTACAAAGCAGGGGGTAGAAGACCAACTGTCTAACCCTGCAACATCCCACACAGATGTAGCCAGTAGGCCAACCCCTGTGTCCCTGGCAGCCTTTCCTAACTTGGTATCTTCCAGATGTGTTGGATGACAGCTCCCACCATTCCCAGCCAGTGTGAAGATACACTCTTTCAGAAATACACCCAGTTCTGAATACGGTTGATGATTCAATTCCATCTGGGGGTGGGAGATTGGTATAGACCATGTGATGACTCTGGCCTGCCGAGCTACAACATCTGGCCTCAGGGGCATGGAGGAAGAAAATCTGACACAGAAACTTTGATGCCAACCGTGTTTTTAATTGACAAAAAATCAACAAACAGTACCTGCTACTGTGCAACACAATGCCAGAACAGATGATTATGATTTGCTCCAGAGTCTCCAAAGTGACAAGGGCATATATTAACAAGCCTCAAGAGTAAATGTGGATTTCAGTTCACTGAACACCACCCAAAGTATATTGGAAATTACCTTGTGTTAAAATTGGCGCAAATGGCATTGCGGTGAAAGCAAGACATGTCTACCAGATACTCCATAATGATCTCTTCCTAAAAAAAATCATCCAGATGTTATACTGCAGAAGGACCCGTCCTTATCAAAACTTCTGTTACAAAAAAGGGACATGTTAAACCAATGCCACAGAGCATGTATATAAAAGCTTATGTTTCGTTATGTTATCCCACCTTTGTTTTGTTTTTACTATCATTAGGTGATCAAAATGGCTTTGTGGGTTGCCTGTGTCATTTGAATTTCAGGAAATAAGTAATACAAATAAGTATCATTTTAGCATACAGAGTTTTTAAAAAGCACATTCTCCCCAGTGTTACTCTTTCAGTCCCTGCCATCAGAACAAAATTGATTTCTTGTAGCTGTTATCACAGAAATAGGTCCTGTTGAGAAAATAATGTGATACCCCAGGAAAGTCAATTCAGCCAATCGCAAAGCACATTCACCAAGTGGCTGTTGTTGTTCGTATTTTGCAGTGGGTGGGAAGTACCTCACCATACGTCATAAATGTTCTTTTGGAACCTAAACATGATTAACAGTTCATTTATGTGTACATAAATCTTAGTGAGTCCATGTTGCATGTTCCTAGGAATACTTTATTCTGAGCCTGAGTACAAACAATACAAACAGCCCATGGGAGCTCACCTCACTGTTTCAAAGTCCTGACCCAACCAGCCAGTCTCATTCTCTGGCAGAGTTATCTTCCTTGTCTGAAACTCACAGCATCAAAGGTTGAAAAAGATCTGAGAGCCATTTAATCAAATCCTCTTCAGAGGCATAGAACTCTAATATCAGGATTGCATGCTTGTAACACACTGCTAGTCCATATTCACAGTTTGGTGGCTGGCTAATCTCTTGAATTAAACCCACTGCCAAAAATGTACTAGCCAGTCCCCCCAAATAACTCCCTATCCATCATTCTTATCTGAGATAAGGTCACCTTGTCCTCAGTGTGCTATGACCATTGCTAATATAGATCCTTTTACGGTTCATTAATTCTGGCACAGACTTCTTTTTGGAACAATAACTAATAAGTATATGGAACCTTGGTTTGAACCATCTGTCAGTTCTTAGGTTTTTAAATCCCATGTTTTGTAAAAAAAAAAAAAATCCTTAAATTTAAACAATTATAGCAATCCTTTGATTGGAACCCACTACTGCAAGAACTATCCTAAATGACCTTGAAAGTGATGAGAGTTAGTAACTTTCTCTTGATGGCTCAGCTGTTCTGCCTCATCCCATGTCTGAACTGGGATCTGGCAGCAAGTGGAAGTTCCTGTATGTACAGGCTCATTGACATGCATTACCTCTGTTAAATCTCCCTCCAAAGTACTAACTGTGTGGGTCATCTGTGCTACATGAACTTTGTTGGTCACTCTTTTATGCAGGAGGCAACTGAAGATCTTCTTGAAACCCTTGCGGAAATGCTTGGATACCAGGGCATAGACGATAGGATTGACGCAGGAATTGGCATATGAGATTAGGTGAGACAGGACCCTGAGCACATAGGTAACATTGTTGAGGGGGAAATAGCCAAACCAAAAACAGAGGATGACCAAGTGATGGGGCAGCCAACAAAGGCAGAAGAGAACAGCCACAATGATGATCATCCGAGTGACTTTGCGTTTACCCTTCTTGGAATCAGACATGACTTTCATGGGATCCACAGATGTCCATAGATAGCGGATAGTCCTCAGGTAGGTGAGGCTGAGGATCAACACTGGGATGACATAGCTGAAGACAAATGTGCAGAGGTCCATAATTTTGCGCTGTGAGATTTTCCAGATGGGATGACAGACAGTAACATTGGCAATCTGAAACTCCTGGTAGTAGCTCACATACGGTCCAGAGAAGATGAATGAAAGACTCCAGATGAGGCAAATTGCTGCGAGAGCATTTCTGGGTGTTCTTAGTTCTCTTGAATGCAAAGGATACCTTATAGCCAAATACCTAGACAAAAAGAAAGCAGGGAAAGGCTACAATATTGAGGCATGCCAATAGGTGGAGAAAACCCAGAGTGAATAGGCTGTGACTGCAGAAATGACTACAATAGTATCCTGTGGCAAAGGAGCCATGACGGGAGAGCTTTTCTCCTGAGAACTGAAAGATACTCGTGTTAGGAGAGATGGTTACCACAGGTATTGAAGGGAAGAGAGTATTGGGGCAAAAAGAAAGGAGGAGGAGACAACTGGGAAGGGTGTGGAAGCCTCTGGGGTATATTTCTTGATCATGCCTGGAGAGGCCTTGCTGGTTTCAGACTACCACCTCAGGGCTGCATCTGGTCTGCAGTATTGGGTACCAGGCAAGTCACAATGATGAGGAGATTTCTGGGGGACCATCTGATACACCGGAAAGGATTTTGACCACTTCTTCAAGTTGGGATTAGGGAAAGGCCTCTCTAGCTAAGCTGCTAATATTTGGCAATGCAATGTTTTGCAAGACATTGGGAATTAAGCTGAAATGCATTACCCATTCTCCCTGCAACACAGACATACTGTAGGGCAATTTTCCAGTATAATTGCCAGTATACAGTATTTGGTAGGGAATTTGGTTGAAAGGGCCCTTGGCATTAAAAAGAAAAATGGCTTATGTGTCAAGCCCCTATCAACAGCCCACGACCAAGGAACCAAGGGTCACATTAATTCACTTCACTGCTAGGAAAAAGGAGTTGGGTTGTAGAATCTTAGAAACTAGGTACATTAGCACATTTGTTAGCACATACATTGAAGTGAAAACTCTGAGATTTGTTTGAACTTCTACATCACAGAATCCCTAATGACACCTTGCTGAAGACAGAAGGCTGAAATGTCCATCTGTATTCATCTGCAGTGTTTTGAAAACCTTTGGTTTTGCAGATTCTGAGAATTTCCTTACAATGGGCAAGCAACAAATAGGCTCAGGTAAAAACAAATTTTGAAAAGGCATGTTGTTTCTGCAAGACCCCTATGTTATTGGGTCATACTGGTGAGGACACTGTTGTGTTATCTCCTTTATATGTGGCAAGATCAGTACATCAGGTCCTGTTTAGACTATATAGTACTTGTAGTGTGTGTATGTATGTATGTATATATATGTATGTATGTGTGTGTGTATGTATATGTGTGTGTGTGTGTATACACACATACATACATACATAAAGACATATGAAACAGGAGATGGCAGGTGGATATTTACTCTCTGACAGGTGCATCACACAATCTAGGATCCTGAAAAAGCTGAGTTCTAACTGCATAATGGCTTAGCATGTTATGTGAACCAGACCATTGTGGAAAAAGAATTCTCTTTCTGAAGAGGAATAAAAGAGCGGTAACAATTTTTGGTTTTCTTTGCTCCAGAAGTGTCATCCCTCTATCGCTGAAAAAGATACTAACTTAATATCATTATACCTAACTTAGTTAAGTTTTGCAGTGACAAATATCTCTAGTCTATTACTTTATTTATATTCCTATTTCATTATTATTTCATTCTGTTTGACCTAGAACCATCTTTAAAAAGCAGACAAGTGTCCTATTTTTCTGTTCCACTTTACACTAATCCTTCCTGCTCTAGGGATACTTCTTATAAACTTTCCACGAGGCATACATCTTTCCTTGCCTATCTATATCCATTTATAATACATGGGCAAAATCCACACTGCCAAACTGCACACTTGAATTGCACATATCACTCTTCTGCTTTCAGTTTGCTAGATAAGAACCCAACCTGACAAAAAATCTTTGTACACAAATTCATATCTTGCCGTATTATTGGCATCAGCCTGGTACCATGGCTACAGAGCCATTTTGTTCTGGAAGTCCAAAGATCTGAGGGATACCAGGAATGAGAAAAATCTAGATGGCTACAGAAGTGTCAAAGTTTAATTGTATGTGACCTCCATCAATTAAAATTTAATGAAAAGTTGCTCCTATGGAATTTACAGATATGTGGAAATGCCTTCCTCAGCGCTAAATAACTACCTATCTGCTAACTCACAAAGGTCACAGCAAATTGACTAAGCCAAAGCTTGAATGGAAAAAAATGGCCCTATTCTGAAGATCTTTAATGAAAAAAAAATTGCCCAGTCTTGAAGATTTCACCACCCATGACAAATCAACTAGTTAAAAGACCCCTGATGAGAGGAGATTAGAACCTTGGTATCCCCATTCCTAGTCAGGCACTTTAATCTTTATACCATGCTGGCATGGCTTTTTTCATTATTTAATTATCTTTATCTCAGATAACTGGGAACTCCCTGAAATTTCTTTTGATGATAGATTTGTTTGTTCTGCCCAGCCTGAGCCCAGTCTCAAAATCATCAAGTCTTTCAAGTTCTGAAATGTAGAATTATCTTTTGATTTGTGTGCCAAATATTCTTCTCGTTTCTTTTGTTCAGGCACAAAATATATCTGTGAGCTTCAGATCAGCTCTAAAATTAATCCAAGTTTTATTTCATTTCCTAAACCACCATCCCCATCTACTCTGATGGCTAGCCCATGTTTCCAGGGAGAAAAATCTTCCTTTCCCCCTCTCTTCATCTTCTTCCCCATCTTCTCAGAGAAATCCTTATTGTTTTGGACATCAGAAAGTCAGTCTTCTCCCCTGCTGAGTGCGAAGACTGAGCTTGTACAAGATGTTTTTGACCTGTAGACTTCCTATTCCCTTTCTCATTCTCTCACACAAACTTGGGTCCTTTGAGAGGGTTAGAAAGTGGAGGGCAAGCAAGGAGCGCAAGCAAGGAGGACAAGTAAGGACTCTAGGGAACTATGGAAATAAGTTTCTTAAGTCAAAAATAGTGACTAAGGAAAGTTTTAAAATATTCCAATTCCAGTTCTCTGTTTATTATTTTTTATCATAGTAGTCATGTCTGGAAGAAGCTTCATTTTTCAGTCTTTGCATTCCAATGGCTATTTTGGGAAACAATCAGCTATCTAGTCCATGAGGAAAGTCATGGCCACCATGAGTTTCCAAATATCAATCATCTCAGTCATTCTGTGTTCCCCTTACTTTGAAACAAGGCAATTATAATTGTTTTGACTCCATTTCCCTTTCTTCCACATATTTGTTAAAGTCTTCTGGTGATTACATGAATACATCCATGTTGCTTTCTTGACAATAATACAAAAACAGCTCACACTGTCTTCTCCCAGGGTGGTGGTGGTGGTGGTTGTAAATTCTCCAGTCTAATCTACACTTATAGAACTTCTTAGTGGTCTTCTATCTAAGTACTAACGAGATCCAACACTGCTTAGTTTTTTTGAGAGCAGAGAGTTTGGCTAGGTGCTACCAGCTGCTGTGACTTCTATTATTTATAGGAAACTATTCTTTCTATTCCATGTAGGGTAGAAACCACTCAAACTTCCTTAGGTATATAGCTTCTCAACTTTTCCTTTCCTTGCCTTCCTTATTTGGCAAGTGTTAGTGTGCCCTGCCTAATGTTGGGAATGTTAGAATTAGTGTACTGGTCCACATACTGGAGGATTGGCAAATTTAAACAGCTGTTGGAATGATCGCTTGTACAGTGTATTGTATGTGTGTCTTAAAAATACTCTATACTCTGACTTGGAATAATTGTTTGAATGAACTCTCCCTTCTTTTAGAAAAACAGTTTCCAATTATGTTGAAACACAGGATGTAAATCCGTTTTGTGCAAGTCATCTCTCCAAAAAAGTTTTCTTCATTCTTAAAATCATCTTGACCCAACATATATCCAGGGATATTACATTTGCATGAGAATAGAAGACACACAACAGTATTATGAAACAATCACAAGTTTAAGCAGCATGAGAGGCAAAAAGAATAGTGCAATATGTGGTTTGTCTGCTGTTGCAAACTAACCTGAGTGCTGTTCAGCAATGTGTCCTGGTAATTTTAATGATATAAAATGCGTATTATTCTTTAAAAAGAGACAAACTGCGATCCCACATCATATTATTAATTTTACATCCTAGTATAAAATTGAATGTATAGGATGGAGCAGTGAAAAAAACAAATCATATATACAAGGGCTTTTTTTCCATTTTTCACGGGAATCTTTTTAACAGTTTGAGTAATTTGCACATGGAAGAAGCTAGGATTCACTGAGGCTCCATCAGATACATACTTAAGGCTACCAAATCTCATCTGCAAAAATCAAGACATCTGCTAGATGGCAGGACAGCAATACAAAAAACGCAACGTCTTCCCTGTCTTTTGGGGATTATATAGACTTGATAGCCCGAATGATAGTGACAAACCTAGTCGTGTCCCACAAAATGTGAAGCTGCACTGAGTAAAAGAATATACTATTTTTCTTTAATGCTACAATTAAAACCCACTCATCCCAAAGCGAGATCTGCAAACAGAAGGAGGTTTCTGAATACCAAATCCCTTACTGGAGTAGAAACTGCCTGTGGAGGTTGTCTGTACCTACACACCTAGGACACATGTGTCCTTTGATGAGGAGGGTTTGATACCCCTTCAGGATCAGGGCTCACAGTAACAGTGGCATCCTACCCAACTGTTGGGGAAGAACTGGTGATGACCATTCCTTTTTCCTCCTAATAAAAGGTAGGCAATGAAATGTATATGGATGACTGTGCTCAGAGACATTTCCTCTCACATCTGCTAGCCTCCTTGTCCCATTTAAGGAGCCTAGCAGATGCTAGAGGAAATGTCTCTGAGCACAGTTGTCCGTATACATTGCATTGCCTACCTCTTTCCAGATACTGAAAACCTTCCCAGCACTCTAAGGTTATATTATCTCAACAGATAAGTCAGTCTCATTACCTTTCCGTGGTTGACCATGGGGAGCTGAGGTTAAAAGAAAGCAGGGTGCCTTAAAATCAATAGATTCTTTGTTGTTGAAGTGAGGCAGAAAGCTAGGATATTATTAACTTTTATACGATATTACTACTACTATAAATCTATAAATACGGTAGTAGTAATATTGTATAAAAGTTAATGATACTACTTAATACTAACAGTATTATATAGTGTGCATGCACACACACACACACATATACTATATGCTATAGTATTACTGTACTATGTTACTATGCTACTATGGTAAATGAAGTTGAAAAACATTGAAAAGAGTGAAGAGAGCTGATCTATAAAGTCTCTGAAAGTTGGGTGCAACTGAATATATGAAGAAAAGAGAGAGCACTATATTTTTCATCAGTTTTCCACTCAATAGTACAGCTGCAGGTACTCTGTATATATCAAGTCATTTATTCCATAGGCATTTTGGTGGTGTGAATTAATGTATAATTTATTTCATCTATTCTATCAGCAATAGGCTGCATGGACACTCACACAACATTGCAAGGTTTTACACTAGGTAGCTGTTGGAGCATCATAATGTTGTGCCTCTTCTCTGTAAAAGCAATATTTTTGTTGGGAAGGTGTTACCTCTAATTTGCAAAATGTCAGGTATAATGGTGGAATTTTGACATCAACAACATATTATTCATTTAACTGAGTTTTCCAAGAGATGCATGTTCTCCCTGAAAGTTATGAGACAAAGTGGTGGGTGTGCTCAGGGAGACTGGAAAGTTACAATTTCTATATCTTGCTCGCATTACAATCTGATAGTTTCCAAAGCTACACAGTGACTTTCCAAATCCAGCCCTTCTCCCCAGCCCTTCAGCTTACTCACCTATCTAAGGATACAGTCGTGAGAGTGAAGCTGCTGGCATACATGGTCAGGTAGATGAAGAAGTGCACTGCTTTGCACATGAAGGGGCCAAAGATCCAATCATCCAGGCTATAGATGGTGGCCTGGAAAGGCACACAGAACACAATGAAACACAGGTCAGCCACACCTAGATTGAGGATGAAGAGGTTGGTGGTATTGTTCACTTGCCCATTCCTCAGCAGCACTGCCAGGACCAGAGAGTTGCCCACTGTGCCCACTAGGAAGATCAGAGAGTACACCAAGGGAATGATCACAGAGATCAGCTGCCAAGTGTTGCTCTCACTGCTCCCTGAAGAGTTTAGGAGGGCCAGTGATCTGTTCATCTCGGAAGCAAAGTGTCCTCTGATAGGGAAGAAATGGAGTCAAGCTTCTTTCCTCTACCTGAACTTGCCAGAAATGCACAAGTCACTTACAGCTTCAGATTGCTTTCAGACGGAACTTCTTGAAAAAAATAATTTCCTTCTTCTCCGATCTTTTCTGCATCTACTTTTCCATTTGTAATCCTGCAGATCAGAGGAACATCCATTCACTGATGCCAGACCTCTGTCTGCCATCACATACTGTAAAGCTCCACTTTTCTTTTCTTGTCAGCGGATTTCCACTTTGCGCAGTGCTGGAATGCTTTTTAGCTTTCTGCTGTGTCCCTCACAGGAAACCATTCAGTGACAGTCACTCCTGTAGGTGTGCAAGCTGAGACTAAACTTCATGCCAGTCGTGCTTACTAGCTGTTTGATATTCTCCCGCCGAGCCTGTTATGTTCAGCGTGTGCTGAACCCTCCTTCATCGTATTCATGGGGGACAAGTAATATATTCAAGACTGCCCCTTGTTTCCAGGGAGACAAAACAGCCAAAATAAAAGTAATGGTGTCTATGGAAATACAGTCCCCTCCTCGTATACACATACACATACTCTCTCTGACCATTTAGGTAGTTGCCCATGTGCTTTAGCTGGAAGGGTTCAAAAGGCTTCCATTGAGAACTTAAAATGCAGTTGAATGAGCTACACCATCTGATAGGTCAGGGAAAGGACCTCTTGTGCTACAAGTTCTCTTCCAAAACATTTCAAAGAGTTACTGGGAATGGGATAGTGCATTCACTGATGGTTGCCATATGGGGCCAGTGGAAATGTTTTACACGCTGTATTCCTCTGCTGGGATGACTCTGGCAAATGTAGTCTCTAAAAAAATGTGCCTGCACTAATCAAGATCAGCAACCAGGAGCAAGGGAAGTATAAGCCCAGGACCCTGGGTCTGGAATTCAGGGGTTGAGGGAGGGGGCAGTGTAGAGTAAGCTCAATAGGGAGGGATTCACAAAAGTCATAAAATGGCTTCTTTGGCTTTGGCTTAGAAGAATGTGTGTACTTAGCCATTGTGATTTGCAAACCATAGTCCATTGTGGAAGTTGGCTACTGCTTAGTCAAAGGGTTGCTGGGATGTTGTTCAGGTCTAGGGAAGTGAGGAAGAAGCAATAAGGGCAGGAGGAGCTATGCTGGGATTTAGAAAGGCAACAGTTCTGCATCAGGAGTTCTGCCAGTTCAGGACATACCTTTCTCCGTGCAGCTCAGTGACCAGGGATATCAGAAAACTGCTAAATTAGTCCTTGAAAGCAGCTTAAGGATGCTTTAAATTTTGAAACAGTTAGGTGTCCTGATTAGAAACAAGAAGATTCCCTTGTTATGATATGATAGAGATGGGACCACTCTTATCTCTGGAGCAGGGTGACTTCCCACCAAGAAGGCTTACCCATGGGGATCCTGATCATGCTCCCTATGGGTCAGAAAATGCAGCAAGCCTAGATCTTACCAGATGAGGAGTAAGATGGTAAACGGGTCTCAAAGATACCTAGAACCTATGTGGGATAAGATCTGCTGCATGGAGCAATTAAGACAGCCTCAAGGAAGGCAGTGTCAATGCTCCAGTGAAGCGTCACTCTCACCTATATTAGTGTGAATCTTCTGATGCTCATTTGGTGCTGCCAGGACCTCCAACTTATATGAAACCCATTACGATTCTGATGCGTTGCCAATACACAGCCCCTACAGGGAGTCCTGTGAATTACAGTGGGAAACTACGTGCTACATCTTTTTTCCCCCCAAGCAGTGCTTGCTGCGCATAGGAAAGTATTTTAGGCCAGGTTATTTCTTCATCTAAGCAACTATGGGAACATATTAAGTAGCAGCAACTCACAGATAAGGAAAAGGATTTCAAATAAAGATACTGCTACAGCTGCAGTATCTTTGCCTTCTGAACTGTTCTCCCTCCATAGGTACTTTTCTTCATCACCAGCATTTCAGGCTAGAACCATAAGAAAAAAAAATGCACACACACACACATATACACATACAGCTCAGTGACCAGAGTTATTGGAAAACTCCATATATATATATATATGGAATGACCAGGGATATCAGCATACTCCATATATATATATATATATATGAGAATATACACATACACATACACACACACACACATACATACATACATACCACCTCTCTTTAGAAGAGGTGACGTTAATTCATAGCTGCTTGTTTGCATTGTTGCAATAGAGAAGAGGGGATAGTGGTATAGGTGGTTGCCACTTGGTTGGCACAAGTCCATCAATCAACAGATTTACTATAGATCACAGAGGGACAGGAGAGGCAGTGTGGTGAAGAATAGCTAGTTGGACTGCTCTTGCTTCCATTCATGCATCCTCCTACAGGAAACAGCTGTCTAGATCAGGGCTGCTCCTTGACTGACTACCCTTAGAGCACACAGTCCCACTTCAACCACCCTGATATACTCCTTCCAGCGCTCCCTGGAATGTTTGTGCTGAAAGAAGCCTCAGAGGAGCATGTTCACTGGGAGAGCGGATTGACCAAGCAGCTGCAGCCCATTGGGTGGTTTCTCACATTGCAAGCACTCCTTTCAGCCTCTCATTCTGCCCTAGGAAGAGTAACAGGAGGAATCATTGCCACAAGAGACTGCATTTCCTCTCTGCCCAAAAAGACATGCAAAGATATCCAGACACCCTAAAAGTTGCTTGGAACTTTGCTCCCAGAAATGGTGCAGAACTTCTGTCAATCAACACAATCTTGAGTTAAAATTGTTTTGATTGACAGATAGAAGTTTTTCACCATTTCTGATAGGAATAGGAAAGATTCCAGTAATTATATATGCCCTGACCACCAAACAGTTTGATCAGCAGAAAGGCTCCATCCTTGAAGGAGAAAGAAGTGGCCAGTTCTCAAGCAATATAAATCCTAACTGGATGACCAAGCTTGAGGAAGTACAATACACAGAGCATGTAAAGTCTCAGAGAGGATGGTCCTGGTTCAGATTTCTGCATTGCCATGATGTAGATCCACATTATTAGCTCTTATCTCTACTTTAAGTAATTATTTTTATTAAGAGCTTAGCGCAGTCTTTCCCAAGCTGATGCCCTTCAGATGTATTTAGACAGTAATTCTCAAAATCTCCCTGTTGGCTAGGAATGATGGTGATTATAGATCCAAACATCTAGAAGGCAGCATGTTGAGAAAACTGAGACACAATTCCAATTCTATTCAATAGTCTTGGAACCTAGCAGGAAAATATGTATCAGCCCTTCAATATAGTCCATCGCATAACATGTATAACATGAAACATGACCAGGAAGGGAGCCATCAGAAAAGGAGCATTTCTTTACTCTCATTATTCCAGCAACACAACACTGAGGCTTTGGAGTTATTCACTGTGCAGTAAATCAGCTTATACTGGCTTTCTCATTAAAAAGTTCACAATCCAAAAGGTACTCAATAGCACATGATCCTTTCAGATTAGAGAGAATGGCGTAGAAACCACAGAGGTAATCTAAGAGAAATAAGGTGAAGCAGCATTTTAACAACCTTTATTCATATTATTATGCACTTCCGCAGGCGGAAGAAACACAGGCATGCTATGCCGAGCTCATTTTGAAGAGAAGCGTCACCATCCTCCAAATGGGAAATGTATCAATCAAAGCAGCTGTTATGTATGAATGTATTTTACAAGGCAAAATAAAATCCCTCCTATTGGCTCAAAGATGAGGTTCAGATTAAAAATGCCGGGAGAAGGAATATAACGTATGGCGGGAAGGATGAAGAAAATGAACAGGTTGGAGCCTGCCAATTTCCCTTCCCATTGTGATCAGCACTGAACCAAAAGGAATTAAATATCCTTTGGAGAGAAGAGTGGAACTTTAGTGGATTAAGCAACCACACATCCAGTAGAACATAGTTCAAAATACTGCACTTAAAAATATTTTGTGCCAGGGGGAAAGGATTCAGAAAAGGACAACCAAAATTATTAGGGAACTACAGCAGCTGCATTTGAAGGAAATGATACAGCACTGAGGACTGTTTAACTTATAACACAGTCAAGGAAGGGGAGACCCAATAGAAATATATTAAATCAAACAGGGTGTAGGAAAAGGGGAGAAAGAGATTTTTTTTTTTCACATTCACAGTATTAGAATTAGAGATCATCCACTGAAACTAAATTTAGGGGGATTCAAGACCAGTTAAAGGTAATGTTTTATATACAGTATAATTAAGCAATAGAATGACCTAAAGTAGATGTGGCAATGGCTTTTAATTTAAATTCATTTTTAAAGGAGACTAGACAAAAGAATGTGAGATAGGAAACGTATAGCCATCAATAAATTCTAGTTTTGATTTTATCTAGTACCTCCTGAGTCACAGCCAACAAATTCTAAATATCAAATCTTGGGGAGGAATAATGGAAGAAGTCTGCTGCCCTCTAGCCCATGCTTCTGGGCTTCATGATTGGTCCAGCCTAGCTCTTATGTTCCATTGATGTATCTGCTAGGCATCTTCATCTCCCAAAGGATGCTTTGGCAGGGAAATGCCCACTGGGAAGACCCCAGGGAGGCCAACGCAAAAGCCAACCGGAGGGGGTCTGAACAATCATCTCACAGACCTTCTGTCCGATAGGAGAAAATACCCTCAGCTGGCAAGGCTCTTCTATAGTGGCATGAGAGAAGCACGTGCGTGCCATTCTCTGCAGGGCAACTTTAGCAGACAGCTTTGCTCTCCATGGCTTCTCCTCTCTCTTCTGTTAAGCACAGATGATTACAGGCATAGTGAAACCCATTTGAGAAAGACAGAGGTTAAAAGGGCCAAGACAATAGTGAACAAAATATTTTAAAACTTAAATATTCCAAGCTCAAAAGAGAACGCTTTCAAGCTTGGTAGCAACTAGTCTCTAGTTCAAAACAGCTGTTCTGATATTACTGGAAGTGTTCCAATAGTACTGTGACCCATTTTTAAATTCTAAACAAGCTCATAACACTTCTGGAATAATTGGAACACTTCCAGTAAAATTGGAACCTGTTTTAGACTCGAAGAAACTGTTTCAAGCTTGAACAATTTTGCACACCTCTAGAAGAGAATAATTTAGGAGAGACAAGAGCCATAACATTAAGGGAAAGAATTATCATAAGCTATTTTTTATTTTGCTTGTTAAAATGTCAATTTGAGAGCTGATTTGTAGATATGTACAAGCCAGTTTGGCGTAGCGGTTAAGGCACCAGGCTAGAAACCAGGAGACTGTGAGTTCCAGTCCCACCTTAGGCATGAAGCCAGCTGGGTGACCTTGGGCCAGTCCTTCTCTCTCAGCCCTAGGAAGGAGACAATGGCAAACCACTTCAAAACTGCAGGGACTTGTCTAGGCAGTCACCAGGAGTCAACACTTACCTGAAGGCACCAAAGGAAAAAAAAAGTTAAAAGTCCTATTAGAAATAAATACAATAAAATAAAACATATTATTTAAAGCAGAAAAATAACAGTAAGAAATAAGAAATGAGCACTATAGTCCATGCATTTATTCACCGATCCATATCCTTAGGGGAATTCTGACAAACACCAGTATTTTTTTTTAGTTCCTGAGGATTGCAGAAGTATTCCTTAAACACACTAAGTTTGACCCACATATTGCAGCCATAAATAATGGTTTATAAACAAGATTGATTAGATTTACCTATCGCATTACACCAAACCAAAACTCAACAAATCAGTGTTTATAGGAATGTGTGATCCAAATCACTAACTCCATTCA